AACTCCGTCATCAACTGCAGTTTCCTTTGGCTTGTTGTTTTGTGCTGTTTGTTACTTTGTGTTTAAATAGAAAAGATTTTGTTTTAAGAAAAAAACATTTTGAAAATATTTCCCGTCAACTTGAAATGTGTCAGAATAAGTTAATCGCGTAATAATTCCTTGTTTCCATGAGGTAATTAACCATTAATTTTGTTAATGTAAGTGCACGTACAAGGCAGTAAAAGCAACATTGACAACTCGCAGCAAAGAACAAACAACACATAACAAAATACTTACACGACCATGTGCAAGTGAAATGTTAAATGCGTAAATATGTAAAAAAAAAAAAAGAAAATGTATATATATGTATATATATGAAGGTGTTTATGAAAAAATAATACAAATATATATGTTTGATGGCTAATATTACGAAAAAGGGAAAACCTTTTTTAAAGAAGTTTTTGCGTAAAGTAATTGAATGTGAAAAGCTCAAGTGGAAAACTGACAGTGTTTTATTCTAACCAGTAACGAAAATAGTGAAGAACATGCCCCGCTGTTCGTCTGTTTTCGCATTTTTTCGTTTGTCTTCTACTCGCACACTCGCACTGCTGCTCCCACATCCGACAATCTCAAACAACGCTAATCTATTTGATGTGATGGCAGTAAATATACTGAATACCAGCAGACGCTTTATAATAGAGTCGATCGATATTGACGTAAAGCGCTTAAAAATAAATGTATTTCCCTTATTAGAAGCGTTTTCTGAAGTGTTTTTCCTCACGGATATGTTTACTTAAAATGTCATAAAGCGTTTTAAAAGTTGTTGTTGTTGTTGTAATTGCATTTATTTATTTCAATTTCAATTTATATTTCCAAAGATCGATGTCTTTACCGAGCCAACATGAAAATGAATATAAAATTTTTCGTTTAGAAAATGTTCTCAATGAACTTAAAGGTGTTTCTAGAGAGCGCACGACTCGATTCATTTAACTTAAAGATACTTTTTTAGATTTAAGAGTGAAAAATTATGAATTTTCTGTCAGCATTCAAGTGCAGCTGCTCTTTATTCAATGCGTACTTTGTTCCTGACGATTAAATAACGATTTTTTTTTTAATCATAATTTTCAGTACATATCGGAAAAGTTATCGGTGTTTTATAATATATATGAATTAAAGTTTGCCTTCAAACCTATCTGTCATCTAATGCAATAATAAGTAAACGCCCTGACCTTATATTCATAAGCAATTCACTTTACACAACGATATCAATTACTCGATACTCGATTCAAGAGTGAAAAGATGCGCTGATATATGCAATTTTTTTATGTAGGGCGACCGTCGCAAGCAGCCAACGTATTCGTTCTGTGGAAACGCTCGCAACATCCAGAAAGAAATATCAGAAACTTTATAAACTATATATATTGTTTTGATTGGAGTCAAATTCTAAAACCGATTTAGTCATGTTTATACGCTCGTCTGTCACCTCGTCCTCTCCTACGCAAATATGAACATGACGTCTTCATATTTGGCAAAAATATGGAAAACTTTCGTACGCAGATTGTTATTGAAAATGGAATTAATATTGTCAAGGCACACGCCTAAAAGCACAGTGTAAGCTGAGAATACCTCTGTTCTTGAAAACAAAAAAATTGAGTCTTATGTTCATTATTGCGAAACTTCAAGAAATGTAGCGAGAAAAATATCCGCCTACTCTATGGCTATACAAAAAAAGGGAGAAAAGTCGGTCACGCCTATCCAGTACTATAGAGTAAACTCATTCTTCTTTTCTTGCTTTTTTTTGTAAGGTTTTTCGATTTATTTATTTATTTTTTTTAATTAAGGGTAAGTGGATAGATAAGGTTCGGCCGCATTCGAATATAATTTGCTTACTTGTTTTCCATTATTCTTATTATTTTTTAATATCAATTACTGAAATACTTTATTGTGCAATATTGAATTTCAACATTTATGGGCAGAACCAGAGACAACTAAATGACGAGATTGTTCAACATTTTGTTTAAAACTCAAACTAGACGACTATAGTGGACTTTTTGTGTCTCTGTTGTCAACAACAGCAGTAACGCTATTAACTAACAACAATTTCATTGCTTTGCTTTTTTCACTCTCATTACGAATATGGCTATAGATCGTCTTAATAATTTCTTAGCATGACGTCGTACTCTATTAAACGTTTACAAAGCAAAAACATATACAATTGCCATAGTTTTATGTGAATATGCGCTATGGCTTACTTGCAAGCGTAATATGACGTCATATTATATTCATAATGAGAATGCAATGAAGAAGAAAGCAGTCAAATTGCATTACTACTGTTATTGATAATAGAAAGACGAAAAGTCCGTAATAATCTCCTAGTTTGAAGGAAATGTTGGCCGCTCTTGCCATTTAGTTATCTCTGGGCGGGACGAGCCGAATATATGAGTATCATATCAATTCATTACGGACCGTGTATTCAACGCAGATAACCGAGTTAATACTTACTATTTAAAACTTTGTACTTTGGGTATAATTGGCAAATAATCAGAAAAATTTTCGCGTATGCAAGCATACATATATATATATATATATATATATATATATATATAAAAAAGTAAAGAAATTATATTCGGTCGCGACTAAATCTTTTATACCCTTCACTGTTATCCTAAAGAACTAAATTATCATGGTCTATAATATGCAGTGGGCGCGGCTCTTTTCAAAATAAATGTTTTTATCACGTAGGCGTGTGAGCATTGTAGGTGGGTCCTTGAAAGAAGTTTTAATCACTTCCAAGTTATTTTGCAAATTTTCAGACAACATCTTCGCTAACGGGAGGATACTACACAGTTGGGTAAGCGGACTGATGGACAGACGGACATATTTAGATGCGTTCCAATTTTAAAACTGGCCAACCATTTACATACTTTATGAGGTTTTTGCAGCTTGTGGCTGCGCATTTTAAAGGTATTGAAAAAAATATTACATTTTGATACACTATTACCTAATATTGAGTAGATGTGATCACTTTTTTTCCATTTATGGACAGGTAATTCTTGCAGATTTATCTGATACAATTCATGAGTGATTATCAAAAAAACTTATTTTTTATTCTTTTTAAGAAACGGAGGTCTTCTCACTTTACGTAGTACTGTAGACGTGTCCGTCCACTAATCATTACAAGCCTGCGTGCAAAAACTCTAACAAGATCATCCTTCGGTGAAGGATATAATAAAGACATGAAACGTTTTTTTTAACGTACACTTTTTTACATAAGAAGCACTTAGAAGGCATAGAAGTTTTTTAAAATCAAATTTGACGCGCAACAGGTTCCATAACACCTGGGACTTTGTTTTTTGCATGGTCCATTTAGACCATTAAAAATGGCAATCCTTCTCATCATAATAATTATTAAATGCTTAGGTGATCATTTAAACCAATTATAAGAAGGAGAAAAATATCATAAGGTAATATTAGGTCGCAGAAAATGAATTTGGCAATCGTTACTATGCCAAAAGATCAATTTTCAATGTGGCATTACAAACGTTCATTTAAGTTCCATTCAAAAAACAAATTTATTTCAAAGCAAATCAAGTTGTAAAGACGAGAGCGGTTGACTTAAAGGTGTGTGAAAAGTATTTTTGTTAAATATTTGGCAGGACAATAGAACGTTGATACCGTTTGCTGGTTATAACGTAGCCCAGCAGATAAGAAGCGCAACTGTCAAGTTGACAGATCCTAGTTCAGTTCTCATTGTTGGTTCACCGTACGCTTCAATTATGATTGGCGTGCAAACGGGCCATCGATCAACGATATGGCGTTTACAGCTCACCTTACGTTTACTCCTAGAATTTATTCTTTTGGGTGTGAACAAATTTGTGATAATAATAGTGAAAATAATAATAAAAAAACTTGAATACAATTGTTCAAAGTAATCAAAAATCACGATCAAAGTATCAAAACTAAATGAAAAAGAAAAACTAAGAAAACTATATAAAACTATATTCGACTATGGCCGAATCTTGCCTCATTTGTCAAAAAGGGAAAACTTAAAAAAAAAAGGAAAAAGAGAAAGACATAATTTCGGTACTCTATATGCCAAATTGGGTGGACCAGCCGAGATACCAAACAAATGGAGAAATTTTTATCGTTGCATGTGTTATAACTTAATTTTTCTTTTGCTTTTGAAAACAAAGCTGTTCTCGGCTTATGCTGTGCTGTAGACTTATTCTTTGCTCATTTTAGGCCATTTTCACTAATAACCAGCGTGCAAGGGAGAGGATTGTCTATCGCATTAAGACATTAAGAATATACGGGCCCTATAGGGTCTCCAATCTGCCCTCACTCCTTCGCTGGAGGGTATAAAAGTACTTCGTATAATTCCTAAATGAATTTATTTTTTCTACTTTTTTGTATTAACGGCTCAATTATTTTTATTGGAATTTGAACGCCATCTACTGGTAATGCATTTAATAAAAGCTTTAAGCGATAAAAGCTTAAATAAAACTTAACGGGAAAGAGACTACTCTCTCAGTTTCTCTTACTATCAAATGAATTTTTTAAAAATGGTTTAATTTAAAATTTTTTAAATTTGTAACAATGAAAAGGCAATCTTTTAATATGGAAAGCAAATTTCTTTCCTTCAATGTATCAGAAAATTCTCTCTATTAAGTCCGCATTCTTTAATATTAAAAAAAAAAAAAAAAGTTATGTTTAATCGTTGATTTAAAAACACTTTCTATCCGAATGCCGAAGGGTTTTGTTTATCCAACTATTTCCCAAAACAGAGCATCATGCCTTAATGCATATGTTTTTGTAACGGTACAATGTTTTTTCAAACACGATTTCTGTGCTCTAATTGAAAGCATAAAAGTTTTTTGGCCCTGCTTTCTATCCGTTTTCCATACTTTTCTAATACTTATGTATATTATTTTCTCATCTTTTTGTATTTCTTCTTTGTATTTTTTGAAATTGTTGTTAATGATTATCATAGTTGCAAAGAAATTATCCGAAAACACACTTACCTGTTTTTGTAGAGTGTCTGCTAATTCTTCCATATATTCTTTGCGCTCGAAACGTTCAAATTTAAAACTGTTCGAACGATATAACTCATTGTCCTCGCGACGGCGATTCCGACACAAACGTCGAGTGATAATATTCCCACCGCTGCCGCTGCTACTGGCCATTAAAATAGCGGTACAACAACGAGGGAAAGAAGGAAGAGAATAAATTTATTTAAGTTTAAGATGTTTTAAAACAAGTATTAAATAAAAAGCTAAATATTTTCACATATATCACATATATATATATATATATATATATATATATATATATATATATACAGGTCCGACGCCAATTATAGTAATTGAAGATTCATTGAAAGCATCAAGATCCGAGCGGAGAATTCCGAATTAAATTCTGTCATAATTTTAATTAAAATCAAACAAACTTAACTTCTTTTAATATGAATGGTAGAAATATTCTTTTTCTCCCCAATTATATTCCATTTCGTATTATAGAAAATTTGCATACAGAGGGTGGAAATGTTTGCCAGTTTGTTGAATGTTTTGTTTGAATTCTTTTCCTATTCAAATTTCAGTTGAAAAGCAGGTGTGTATAGAGGCGAACGCGTGCGAGTTTGTGTGCGTATTGAGTGTTAAAGCCTGCACCATAAAAATTCTCACGTTTTTTTTTACTTATGTCCTTATAAAACTATACATTTATATATGTGTATCTGTCTACAGTGGGTCTGTGTATGTATGTCCGTGCTTAATAAGTGTACTCGTACATATTTATATACACATACACATATCTAGTAAGGGATCATATATACGTGCATTATTCATAAAAAGAGAATAGAAAGTTGTTGCTTAACCTCATTTTTCGGTGTGAAGCTTCATTAATGCTTTACATTGCTATATAGCTTGCTTTTTATTTCTGTTTTCTGCTTTATTCCACCTACAAACCCTATTTTTATTCCTTAATTTATGTTTTCTATGGTTGTTGGGTAAATAAACCACATGTGGGTAACTTCATAACATTAATGAAACAATTTCTTCTACGATTACATTGCAATCAACAGTTTATGAAATTCAAATATAAAAAAAAAAAGACGAAGAAGAATAAAAACACAAATTAAGCGCGTTAAAAAATTTTTCAAAACTCAAGATCCCCTTTACACGTGATTGTCAAATTGCTGTTGTCCCGTTAGCCGGGAGCCCCTTGAACTAATCAAATTTTCACTTTATGAAGCTTTTGAGAGGCGAACACATCGCTTCATTGTACGATTTTTACTATGAATTTATCTCAATACTTTATATATATATATATATATATATGTATTTTCTTTCTCAAATACGCGTTCATTCATTTATAATAGGTCTTGTAAATCGACATTTTCTACGCCGATGGCAATAGTTTAAATACGAATCTTTTGAATGCATACTTACAGGCGTAAGTTTTGCTTTTCAATTTTACTCTATGGCTGGTCACAATCTAAGAACATTGCCAGCTAAATTTCGACTTTTTCAACTTTTTATACCGATATTTTAATCCCTAGACTTTCAACGACCGTCTTAAGGAACGGACGTTACAGGCCAATTTAATTACTTTACTCCTTGATTTATTGGCATTGATCAATAAATCGCATCTGTGTTAATTCATAGCATTAGTGAAGAATACAAACATTTTGAGTTGAAATTGAATTGAGTTAAATCGAAATAGAAATGAAATAATGTAATAAATTGCAAGTTGTTGTCGAGCCATCCATATTGTTTATATATGTATATCCCGTCGGTAGTAGTGTAAATGTCTTTAATATGTATTTCAAGCCTATGATTTATTTTATGATTTATTTTCGACTTGTCCATATCCCGAATACTAAAGACCACGTACATACTTTACATGTAGGTGTAAGTGATTGCGGATGTACAAATGAGTGAATTGGTGATGTTTATTTAAAAGTGAGAAAAATGTCAAAACATAAGCTTAGGAATCGGAACAAAAGGATAAACAACTTTTCCACATCTCACCCCAGTTAACTAGCCATAGGAATTCTATCATGAAAGAGAAATATTCCGAAACAGATGAAATCTAAAAGTTGTTACCACACACGTTATCGTAGATAACAAACACCAGAAGCTAGCAAACAAATAAACATTCAAGCAAAGTGAAAAGATATACGGGATACTAACAGTCCGGTGCAAGAGTGCAAGAAAAAACCTTCACAGCATTTTTATGCTTTAGTGGTCAACAACACGCAGAAGGGATACGAAAGCAATAAAAGAGAGGATAGAAAAAACTATGTGGCAGACTTTTGCAACACTTAACTATTAAATGAATGAAACCCGGTTGTGGTTACTTTTGTGTGCGATTTGCACGACCAGGTATAAAGAAAAAAGCAAGTGGAAGGAAAAATTAGAACCAAAAATATGACACAAAATAAAGGGCTCTTCAGTTTTGCAGCTACAAGCTTATAAAAAATTTTAATTTGGAGCGAACACAACGATAAACAATATCAACGTTAAAGGCCTTAAGAATATATATATATATAAGTATATATATAAATAAATACAAGCAAGAGCTGCTTCCCGCCAGCAAGCTTTTATTTAACAAGCGAATCGCATTCAATACCTCATCGCTATGCATATGTATTAAAGCGAAGGATGGCTGACAACAAGAGAATGCTGACAACAATATGTAATAGACACTTTTGATAAACAAGGTAGTCAGAGAGGCGAGATGAAATTTTTATAAGTTAAGAGGAAAAAAGTAAAAGTTAAAAATAAATATAAAAATACAAATGGAAATGAAAACGAAAAGCCTAAGGCTTCAGCCAATTTGTGTGTTTTTGTTTAGTTTTCCTCCCTCAATCCGTTCCGTCTAACCATCTCTTTCTTGTACGCAACCTTTTCCCAACTTTCATATCAAATGAAAACAACAAAAACTTACCCGCATGGCTTGCAATGAGTCATCTGTAAATCCCAGTTCAAGTGAAAGTTAAACATACGCAACTTGGCGACAGCGCGCTGACGTAAAGAAATATCGGGTGCCGTTGCAGTCGTGGCACTCGCTGCCATAGACGGTACTGTCGCATTTGCACTAGTCGCTGTTGTTGCCTGATTGTTATTGCCCACTGTAGGGTTACTGCTTAAAACTTCACGTCCACTATTGGGATTAGGATACATCATAACCGTGCCACAAGGCGCCGAATTCGCCATCATCATGTGTGAGTTACGCGACGAACGATGATGATAACGATGATGACTATTCGTTAAAACTTCTGCCGATTCTTTTATCGTGTAAAAACCGCCAGAAGAACTGTGGAAATCGAGAAGCGATTTATTTATGCTACTTTGCTATGCTATATATATTTTTGCACTTAAAGCTACTTTCAATAACTTACTTATATGCTATTGTATTTAGTAGACAACAGCACGAGTATGATCACACATGCATAAATAATGATCATGTAATGTGCATGTATTCATACCCATTTATCTACGATTATTTGAAATATAGTTAAAGGCGCTCTTAGAATAACATTCTGCTGGGCCAAGGAATGATTGCAGGGCTTTCCTGGCATTGTTCATTTAATAATATCCGACAATTGTTCACATGTGCGAAATTGTGTGCAATCGTGATTTGAAATGAACGGGAGCGAAAGCTCAGTTCCTATTAAGACAACAGATACAATATTTAAAATAAATCAATTTTTTCTATTTTTGTCTAATTTTCCGGTGTGTACGGGAAGTTTGATTCGTTTTCTATTTTTTGTTTCTTGTTTCCTTGTTTATTTATTGTTTTTATTTCGGTTGCGGTTTTTGTAACCAATTAATCGTAAATTTTAATATCTATGCGAATACTCCCTAAAGCAAACTAAACGAGAAATCGATTGAAACAAATGAAATATCTGACCATGTGTAAATATGTATGCAAAATGTTACCATGATCTTCTCTTTGTTTATTGCCATAAAACACAATATGATAACGAATGCTTTCATTTGAATGCTTTCCATTTAACCTTAAACCCTTCGACATAGCTATTAGAGTAAGTTAGTATCCTTAACAACGTAAACAGAGAGAAATTTGTTATGCAGTCTGGATACTTTAGGGACACGCAATAAGTGGCTTTGAACAAGAATCCATTAAGCATATTATAAGTCAATAATAAATTAATTTGATGAAAGTTTGTTTTCACGATTGCCGTTCAATTCATTGAAATTTCTTTCAGATTAGTGCGCTTTATTTATTGCTCGCTAAACGTAATTAACCGTTGAGATAATGCTTCATCAACAATGTTAAAAAGTACTTACGACATGTTGTCTCCTCCACCGCCCACACAACTCATACCAGTACGTCGTGGTCGTGATTTACGACGTCGACGTCGACGACGTTCAGCCGAAGCGGAACGTGGTTGCAGCACATGCTGACTTAGGGACTTGCGAAATTGTGTCGTTGATGCTCCGGCCGCAGTAATGCCGCCTGCTGCCATTCCCTCATTGTTATCAAAGCCGGCTACCATTACTGAACTTGCGATAGTTGAACCGCTATTCATTATCTTAAGCGGTGGCATTTGCCCACTGGTCGCCAAACGGCGGCCAGTCGCTGAACTGGAACCAGCCACCGCAAGTACTATCTGAGGATCACCAAAACCACCAGCCGAACTCACTGTATCAGTGGGATTGCTCTGGTTCTTGGTAGAACGACTGCCACCAAAGCTAACTTTACGCCACATACGCTCCATTTTGCTTATTCGCGTTATTTGTGACCTTAATCAGGGAAGTGTTGGGCAATTTATAACTAACTACGACTTTTAGTTAACTTTTCGTAAAATACATCTTGGAAGCTTAGTTGTTTTCGTCAAGGAACTATCGTGGGGCATATATACAATTACACGGGAAACTTTCGCTAAACTTTTCTCTTAAAAAGACTTGTTTAACTCTGAGATAAGTAATATAATACCGACATAACAAACAAGTATAAGGGTTTTCGTTTGATAGCATAAGACGGATTAGTTAAAGATTAAACTGCGATGATAATGGTGGTGGTGTCTCTCCTATAACGACGATATTGTGAACATTTGGGTTGTTTGTATGTGATTGCTTTTATTATAGTATTGTAGTCGTTGGTAGTTTCATTTTTCTAAATAATAAAATTCAGTGACTATGGCTTACACATCGTTCGAGTTCACATGTGCATACTTAGCAGCGTGTGCATATGTATATATATATATATACATATACATACATATATATATATATATATAT